ATAAAGGCAGAATAAAATATATTAGATAAATAATAATAACTTTTAAAAGATAATTTAAATAATTAGATTAAGATATTAAATAAATTAAATAAATTACTATAAAGAAATTTAATAAATAACTTAAGAATATATTACTAAAGTATTATATTTATAAGAAACTATTTTAGGAAGAACTAGATATTAAGTTACCTTAATATATAAATTATAATATTAAAATTATATTAAAAAATAAAAAGAATTTAAAATTCTTTTCTATTTATAACCTATCTTAAGATAAGCTTAATATACTTAGAAAATAATTAAATAATATATTATAAAAAGGATATATTAGATTATTAAAATCCTTAGCAGGATATCTAGTTATATTTATATTAAAACCTAACTTAAATAAGCTAAGACTTATAATAGATTATTAATAACTTAATAAGATTATAAAAAAAGATAAAATATTACTATTACTTATTACTAAACTTAAGGACTACCTATTTAGTAAGAAATAATTTATAATACTTAATCTTAAATCTGCTTATAACCTTATTTAAATTAAAGAAGGTAATAAATAGAAAATAGCCTTTTAAATAAAATATAAACTATTTAAATACCTAGTTATGCCTTTTAAATTAATTAATATACCTATAGTATTTTAATATATAATTATAAATATACTTTAAGAATATCTTAATATCTTTATAATATACTATTTAAATAATATCCTTATCTTCTTTAATATAAAAGAAGAATATATAAAATATATCTATAAGGTTCTTAAAGTATTATAAAATACTAATATACTTATTAAACTTATAAAAAGTTACTTTTATTAGTTTTAAGTAATATACTTAAGATATAAAATCTTATATAATAAAATTAGAATAAATAGATAAAAGGTTATAATAGTTACTAAATAGAAATTACTTATATTAATAAAAGAAACTTAATCCTTCTTAGGATTTACTAACTATTACTAATAATTTATTAAAGGTTTTAGTAAAATTACTATTTCTCTTACTAAGATTATTAAAAAGGATAAATAATTCTAATAAAATAATAAAATATAATAAGCTTTTAAATAACTTAAATTAGCTATTATAAATAAACTTATTTTAGTTATATTTAACCCTAATTAGTAAGTTAAATTTAAAACTAATACTTTTAACTTTGCCTTAGGAGGATAAATAGGATAATAAGATAATAATAGTATATTATACCTTATTGCTTTTTATTCTTATAAGATATATAAAGTAGAATTTAATTATCTTATTTATAATAAAGAATTCCTAGTTATTATTAATTACTTTAAGGAATTTAGATATTATCTTAGAGGAAGTAAATACCTAGTAAAAGTGTTTATTAATTATAAGAATATAGCTTACTTTATAATAATATAAGAATTAAACTAATAATAACTATATTATATTAAATACTTATATAGGTTTAATTTTATAATTATATATTATAAAGGAATAAATAATAGATATATAAATACTATTAGTTAATAATTTAACTTTAATATAGGAATTATTAAAACTAAGGAATAACTCTTAGAAATAAATACTAAAGGAGAATATTAGTTTATATAACCTATTAAAATAATTACTAGAATAATAAAAGAAATAGAATTCCTATTAAAAGAAAAATATAATTTCCTTTGCGAATTTTATTTATATCCTTTATATAGATATTAAGGTATTAAAAAAACACTAAAATAACTATAAGACTAAGAATATAAGTTTAAAAAAAAGGATATAGAAGATATTATTAAATAATATAACCTATGCCTAAGAATAAAGGCTTAGAGATATAAACCTTATAGATAATTATAATTACTATTAGTAATATAATAACCTTAGGACTTAATTATAATAGATTTTATTATAAAGTTAAAATCTTTTATAATAGTATTATAGTTATAATTAATTAACTTATAAAATTTTCTTATTATCTACCTTATAAAGAAGTAATAAATATAGAAGAACTTTCTTATATTTTTTACTAATATATTATTAGTATATATAGGTTACTTATAGAAATCCTTTCTAATAGAGGACTTATATTTATAATAATATTTTAGTAATTACTTATTATATAACTTAGATTAAATTATTAACTTATAATAGTATTTTAACTATAAGTTAATAGATAAATTAAATAAATAAACTAAGTACTTAAATAGTATTTATAATATTATATTAACTATAAATAAAATAATTAGGTTAAGAAACTTCTAATAGCCTAACTTGCCTATAATACTATATATAATAAAAGTATAAAGCTTATATTAGCTTATACTAATTTTAGGTTTATATTAAATATATATTATAATATATAATAAGAAAAATTAATTAATTTAGCTACTATATTTAAAAGTAATAACCTTAAAAATCTATATAAAGAAATAAAAATAGAACTTAAATTTATTAGAAAATATATAAAAAACTACTATAACCTAAAACAGTTAAAGGGATTAACCTTTTTAAAAGGAGATATAGTCTACTTAGTTATAAAAAACATTAAAATAGACTAACTAACTTATAAACTAAATTATAAATTCATTAGATCTTATAAGGTATTATAGAAAATTTTAGAAAATAACTATAAACTAGACTTATTACTAAAAGTTAGGCTTTATTTAGTCTTTTATATTTTATTACTTAAATTAGTAGTAAATATAATATAAGTTAAAATAGGTAATAAACTATAAGAAATTTTAAAATTAAAAATCTATAAAATAGAAGTAATTAGGAAAATAGATATAATTAAAGGATAAAGGATATATCTAATTAAATAGAAAAACTACCTGGAAAGTAAAAATATATAAAAACCCCTAAAATACCTTATTAATACATAGTAATTTCTAAAGAATTTTTACTAATATTAAATAAAGGAGAAGTATTAAGGGATTTATTGCCTAAACCTAAGAAAGATTAATTAATATTATTAGGGATATAATTTACTTAAAGATCTTAAAGTAATATATTTTTATATATATTTAAATTAGATAAGATTATATCCTACTAATTTACTTCTTAAAGACTATAATAAGTAGCCTTAAAATACTTTTCCTTTATATAATTATAAATTTTATAAATCCTTAATAAATAATTAGTAGCTAAAGCTAAATAAGATTATAATACTACTATTTCCTTATAAAGCTTAAGAAGATTTTTACTTACCTTATTTTTATTATTTTTTAATTTCTTTTCTTATTTTATTAAAGTTATAATTATTAGAGTTAATAAGAAAATAATAAAATAATATATAATAACTTATAAGAAGATATAATATAAGTATTATTATAAGACTTCTTAGCCTAAATATACTTACTATAATAAGTAGAATTAGTAGATATTAGATATTTCTTGCCTAATTAGAAATAATAAGTATAAGGTATATTAGCTTCTTTATTAATAAACTTAATAGAAAGTATAAGTATTTAGATTTTATAATCCTTATAGGATAACTATTTAGAAATATAGTTAGATATTATAAGATATAATAATAAAAGGTTTAAGTTGGATCTTACTAAAAGAAGAATAATATTAGTTATAATAATAGGCCTTAAGGATAAGATTACCAAAGGGGAGAGATTATATTATAATCCTAGTAGTTATATTATATATATCTTATAATTTTCTCTACTTAATTTATTAACTAGGGAAGGACTAATATTTATAGGACTAATAATGTTCTAGGACTATGTTATTTTAGGACTAATAATAACCTTATATTATATTATTTTAATAGAATTACCTTTAGTATATAAAATATATTTATTAGTATTTTTATAGGTTTTAATTTATTAGTTATTAATAAAACTTCTTTATATTAATTAAGCCTAATATATATTAAATTTACTATTAAGAGATATAATACTTTAATAAGCTTAGTATTATGCCTTATGTAATCTGCTAATAATAAACTTAGCATGGCTTAGTTTATCTATAATTAGAAACTAACTATTATATAACCTCTTATTATATTGCTTTTATAGAACTATATCTAGTATATAAATTATATTTATTTACACTCCTATAGATTCTAGCTTATTAGCTATTAATAAAACTTCTTTATATTAATTAAGCCTATTATATATTAAATCTACTATTAAGAGATATAATACTTTAATAAAGCTTAGTTATATGCCTTATATTATTTGCTAATAATAAACCTAAGTATAGCTTAGTTTAATATAATTAGACCTAACTATTATATATAATAAGTAATTTAATTTAACTTTCTCTTTTCTAATTATAACTATTAATAGTATTATAATTATATTATAATAATACTTAAAAGAAGCTTATAAATACCTAATTTTAATAAGTCTTATTTAATAAAAGGCTATAATATAATTAATATAATTAACTAAGCTATTAAGAAAGATAATTATAATATTTTTTATAATATAATAATAGAAATTAGAAAGGCCTAGTTATATAAGGATAATACTAGTTATATTAAGCTAATAGCCTTTAATTATAAGATCCTCTTACTTATATATCTTTTTTATAATACTTACCTTCTTATTAAAAAAGCTTTTTTTAATTCTAAGATAAAGAAACTTAATAGGCTAAAAAGAAAGCTAATTAGAGAGGTAAATCTAAGCTAAAGAGAGAGGAAATTTATTAAGGCCCTTTATATAGGAATTTCTATAACCTAGTAGGCATAGTTATAGCTAACTTATTATTAGATAACCTTAGCCCCTAGGTAATTAGCATATAAGAAGTTAGAAAAACTGGAAGACGCTGGCCGCGTCCTGCCATACAACATGCATTTGCATGGTGGCGTGTACTTCTTGGTAGCCTGGCTGCCCTACACTGATAAGACTTTCTGACCCCGCATCCCTCCCAACCTTCCCCAGTCCTTTCAAATACCCGAATCCTCCTGCGTCGCATTCTCATTCTTATTGAACATTGTGTAATACGCAGCCCAGTTGTTGCATTGTTCAGAGTATTTTGGGACAATGCCAGAGTTCTGAAATGCAGGTCCAATCTCTCTCGGAGACTCAACAAACTGAAGTGCCAGTCCACCACTAGCATGCCAAGCAATCTACCAAAGTCAGACAATGATCCAAGACTGCAGGTTCACAATGACACTTACATGGCAATGCATAAGCCAAACACCGGGGTTGTTAACTAGATGTTTTGTCAGTAATTTCTGAAGTGCTGGCCTGAGCAACACTTACTTTGAAAAGCGATAATTAGGTAGCCATCGACGGGTAGTAGTGCCACGTCGCGTCTGGGCGGGTTCGCAGTTTGCAGAGTGACATTTGCCGGATCAAACTCATTTGTCCCAGTAGCAAGAACCACAAAATCGTGGCCGTGGATATGCATTGGATGAGCGACAGGAGCCTGTGTCTTGTAGATCTTGTGTTGTCCAGGCATGTGGTCTAACGAATCCTGAAACTTACCTTCAATCAAGAAGTAGACCCAGCTACCGTTTTTATACTCCAAATTAACCGGCTCGTAACCTTTAGGCCACTTTGGATCATGCCAATTCTTCTCATATGCTACCTTGACGAGGCTCAAACTAGGCTCAGCCCAATCAAGATAGAATGACGAGTCTTTGAGAACCCATTTATGCAATACTGAGTTTTCAATGGTATCATCAGGGTATCCTACGAGATGCACTTTGAAGGAATCTTTCTGATAGTCCAAGTTGGCTGCGACGGAGATATCCCGTTTGACAATAGGTTGAAGATTTGCGCTCAGCTCGTCGAGGCATCCGTAGCAGAGATGCTTCTCGTCCGGAGGGGGAGTCCAAGGAATCTTTTGGTTTTTTTCATCATAGCGTATGATACCTAGATTGGAGCGGGCGCCTCCATTGTTGCAGTCCCGAGCATGCATCCAGAAGTTTGTGCGTTTGGAGTTGGCTGAATCATGGAGTGTAGCATTGGCCTCGATAATAATATCGTAGCGCTGGCCAATAGCGATATTGAGAATAGAGGTGTTGTAAGGCTTGATGGGGACAAAGTCGGTACCAACAACGGAGAAGGTATGGTTGTCGATCCAGAAGGTCATGTGTGTTGAGACCCCTGTATTTACAAGACTCATTTTGTATTTCTTGCCTTTTTCAAAGTTAAAGGATGTTAACTTAGAATGACCTGTGCAAGCTGAGTCAGTCTTTGGACAGCAGTAGTATGTGCCATTGCCGTTCATCAAAAAGCTGTCCGGCGGCGGAGGCCGTCCTATGTACCAATTAGTACCAATAAAGCCAAGTGATAGTTCCTCAGAGCTAACCCAAGTACTCGAGCATGACCTGAGAAAAGGCCGTTTTGTGGAAATGATCGGTGATGAGTACAGGACCAAGATCAACGTCATAGTTCATGCTCGTTGGTCCATTGATCTTGATTGCGCCCAACAATCCATCGGCATCTGTTTCTTTGTTAGCAAAAAACCGCCGTAAAGGCATGTTGACCAACATTGGAGACTAAAATGACCTATAAACATTAGTTCGTATGCATCAACGTCGAAAAGAATGTTTCTTACTATGGTACCAGGAAGTTCCATACTGAGTAGCTCTCCAGCGGTATGTCATCTTCTCACCAGGCTAATTTTGTTAGGACATCTAGGAAATCCTTTGTTTCCAAGGAGACTTACTGGGATCGGGCATTCAGTCACACCTGAAACACCGTCCATCCAATTGGTGTTCAGCTGTCGGAGGCCATGCCAATGAACTGAAGTTCCGTTGTGGTTTATGAGGTTATTTTTGACGGTGATTTCTATGTTTGTTAGCCGATTCCTGACGTCTCTCACAACCTGATATCAATACCCACCAAAGGTATCACCCCAGTTTCCTTCCAAAGTCGGGCCAGGATATGTCTTATTGAAGAGCATGCGGTCCACCATGTATCCATCAGGAGCAATTCTTTCATTGCTCACCTCGAGATAGAACTAAAACATCCTGATCAGCCTGTTTTGCATAAGGGTTAAGAGTGAATTACAAACCTTGCGCGTTACACCCTCCGGAACAACGTCCTCATAGTCGGTGGTGATGTCATGGCCTGGAGACCAGCAGGATCGGTTGCTTGGCGTGTTACAGGCACCACCAACAATGGAGTCGGGATCAAACACGTCGACTACCTTGTCGATAGCGCTAATGTTCGAGTAATCAGAAGTAAATCTGAATTGGTTGTAATATTCTCCGCTGACGAATAGAAATTCTGTGAGTCTCTTCCAGAATCCCATGATGTATGATGTGATTCTACGGGATTATGGTTGGTTCATGGAAGACAAAAAAAGTGAGGTGAGAAAAATAGAAAAAGATGAATGGGAATTGGAGGGAGATGAGAACGATACACCATTGAAGGACCTATTCATAAAAGGCTTTTAGCCTCGTAAGAAGGGATAGCCGTTATCTCAGACAGAAGGTCGCCTAACAAATTCGATTGGTCACTTAATAGTCTAGGTGCGGCTGAAGTGGTCTGATGCAGAAATCCCACGTACTGGCGTTATGGCACATATCTGAACGTTCCACTGCATTCCAATCCTGACTACCCACCAAGTGAATGATCTCACAACGAGTTTAATGGTGGCATTATCAATTTCCTCATACTTATGTGACAACACTCGTTCATGCATGCTGATGCTGCACTCTGGCAATTACTGCTTATCTTTTAACAGATCGAGCTAATTTAGCTATTTGCATGATTTTAGTGTAGGCATTACTTTTACGGGATATAGATTCAATGCTTTCTAGGAACTGAATAAATTAGCCACGGAGAATAAATGAGTCTATGTACGAGACTAATGACACCGAACAAGAAACATTATTACAATCTCAAATAATCAGTAAATTTCAATGTCAGTCAGACTTTCTGTCCTGGCTGATATACCGTGCGTCTGCCCTAGTCCAGATCCTTCACATGTTGAGCGAGCGATATGCAGTGATTTGTTTAAATAAGACTTGTCTCGCTCAAAAAACCTAACATGCGAGTTTATTTGAAATTCATACGGATAGTCTTCAGATATGAGCCTAAAAGAAGGCCAAATATCTACGATAAACCAAAAGAGGATCGCCACGCGACAGTGGCGTGGCTGAGAAGAAACTGGACTAACCAAATTTCGAACCACCATGGCGAGGCAGGGGCCTACTTTTGGATCAAAATAGACAAGCCATCACATTTATAATCTCAGCTGGCTGCAAACACATACCTGGCGAGCAATAGTTGCATGCCGCAAACTACTACCGTTGCTTAGTTGCATGCTGAGATGGTAGTGTTCTCGCACCTTTCAAAGGAAAACGCGAGACAGTCATCGGCCCCACGACATGGAATTTGACTCTCACAGACTTGGAACAGAATCACATCTAGATTCGAGTTTCTAAGTAATAAATCCCGCATTGCCTAGCCAGCACCACCATACATTCACAAAAGGCCAAAGCGGGAATGTAAGACGATACATTGAGAGGCGCTTTTGCAGCGGTGAGCAAAATAAAACAAGTGGTCCAACGGGTAGACTAATTAAATATCAACTATTAAAGAGATGTGATGCGAACTTAATTTCTTTCTTCATCGCCGTTGATATCTTCAGCACACATCACCACCATGTCTGTTCCAGACGATCCCTTGAACTTTATACCTGCAGATCTCTTTTTCCCCACTGTTCCAAACTTCCAAAATCCTACGGAAGTAGTGGCAGTTGAATCATCAGAGTCGATCAAACCCAGCGATCCCTTACGCTATGCGGCTCATATCACTCTTGGAGGTGTTAATGGCGATTCTCAGACACAATGTTTGGTTCAATTCGTTACGCCCTTGATCTGGAGAATCAGATACGACCCAAAGTACACCAGTCTCTCTGACTTTGAAGACACTAACACGTATGTAGTAAAAGGTAGATTCTCAGATGCATTGCTGACAATGGTATAGGCGCACGATTGTCAGAGATACATTTTCCGGCCTGGTGGATGGTCTGCAGCAGGAATACAGAGATTCCGATGCCAGGAATGCGTACCCTGCCGGAGATGAATGGTTCTGGCGGACGTCTTTTAAGCAGTTATCGACTGATCACTGGGTTCTGACTGTAAGACCGAGACCCCCTTTAGTTGATATCATACTTACAAGGAGCAGTCCAACGAGTACCAGAGCAAAAACGGTACTGCTACTCCCAAGACCAGCCTGCACATCTTTAAATCCCCATTTCGCATCGTGGTATGTTCATATTGCTCTTGCATTAGCTATCAGCTGACACCTCACAGGCAACTAGAAAGCTCAAGACCTTAGAGGCAGACACAAGTCTCTTGCAGTCCGTAGGCGTCGACACAACTTCAGAACTTGAACAAATCATCTGGCAGACTACCGATCAGACTTTCTCTTACCAAAAGAATTCAGATATTGATGCGATCAACAATGTCGTTCTCAACGTCAAGAAGCCTGGCCCTGCTGAGTATCTCGGATTTGGCGAACAAGGTGGCAAAACTGTCTTGAAGAAGCCCACTTATCTGAACTATTTCTGTAAGAGAGCCCTGAAGGTTATATGGGGATATTGCTAATTGTTGCCCTGGAAGGCTATGACAACTTCAATTACTTGAAGGTCTACGGCCAGGGTGCACTTGACGGCAGAGAACCACTGTAAGTGTCCTGGTACGGGATTCCGCCATTTTCAACGAAGGCTAACGGCATAGTTATCAATCGTCTCCGTTTTACTTGGAAATGAACGGAACTCCAACATACCAAAACGTTACAGGCGTGATGATAGACAACTATTCTCAGGTTGCGATCGATCTTGGCAAGAATGATTCTAATATCATAAGCATCGCCACTCGTTTCAACACGTTTGACGCATACATCCTGACGGCTGATGACGTGCCAGCTATGATTTGGTTTGTTGTTCTTCCGCATATACGTGCACGGATGTTAACAGTGAATTGCCAGGCAATATACTTCCATTGTAGGACGACCCAAGCTCAAGCCCCGATACATTTTAGGTCACCATCAGGGATGTAAGTTTGTCTCTTGAATTTCATGTACTTTACTAACACATGCAGGCTATGGCTATGCCAATGAGGGCACGGTTTACAATGTTGTTAATGCCTATCGTGGGTCGGGAATTCCTCTTGATGGAATACACCTCGACGTGGACTTTCAGGTATGCCAAGTTACGCCAAGTTACCCCGTTCACGAACAAGGCTAATAGCTCTAGGAACGCTATCGCACGTTTACAAGCAGCACAGTCAACTTCCCTGATTCTAAAAGATTTTTTGGGAATCTCAAAAAACAAGGGATCAAGGCCTGTACCAACATCACGCCTATCTTGACTCTCCGAACAGTCGATGAGGGTGCATACAAGGCCTTGGATGCCTTTTGGGATCAAAAGGATCCTAAGAACCCCAAGACTAAGTAATTGATATACTCTTTGGATAAAACATTGACTTATTATATTAGTATGCTGGTAAATGACACTAGGTACACGAAAGGCCTCAACAGCTATCCACCGACATATTGGAGATATGATGGTCCAAACAGCAACGGACCACTTGCGAAAGGCGTCAATCCAACGTCTTATGGCAACGACTATTATGGACAGCCCCAACGGCTCACTTTTGCTGACTACCCCGGTGGCCCAACATACTTGGACTCGTATGACTTTCATGCAAATTACAACAGCGGATATCCTTTCCATGGTGGTGTCAGCTATGGCCAAACACTGGGAACTGTACGTCTCTTCTTTCTTATTACATGTTGCACTGCTGATAGACACAGCCTGGATACTACCCTGACTTGAACCGAGCTGATGCCAGAGAAGTATGGGGTAAGCAGTACCAGGATCTCTTCGACGATGGCCTCGAGTTTGTATGGCAAGATATGACTACTCCTGCGGTCGGAAGGTCGTACGGTGACATGCTGGGTTTCCCATCTCGATTGCAAATGACAGACGACAGCCCTATTTCCGCACCAAAAACCAAAACAGCAATCGAACTCTGGTCCCTTTATTCGTACAATCTACACAAAGCAACATACCACGGCTTAAGCAATCTCAAAGGACGAGAAAACAAGCGCAACTTTATTATTGGGCGAGGTAGTCAAACGGGAATGCATCGATTTGCAGGCTTATGGACCGGTGATAATGGCAGCTCTTGGGACTTTTGGAAAATCTCAGTTGCTCAAGTCCTTGCACTCGGTTACAGTGGACTCACGATTGCGGGTGTTGATATGGGTGGTTTTACTTCTGACCCAACTTCTAACGCATCATATCCTCGTTGGTGCAATCCCGAGTTGTTTATCCGATGGTACTCTGGAGCCTTTCTCTTGCCGTGGTATCGGAATCATTACATGCAGCATTGGGATCAGCAGTCAAACCCGCCGGCTAAAGTGTTCCAGGTCAGTTATTGATATCCAGTTACGCAAGACGATGCTTACCAGCTTAGGAACCGTGGGCTTTCAGTGACGTATTGTCCAATCAATACGCCCACCTGATTCCTCAGGATCAACGCGTTTTGTACGAGGCAGTTGTGCCTATCTGTCGGTACTACGTTCAGCTTCGATATTCGCTTATTCAAGTTTTGTATGATTGCATGTTTGCCAACATGATCAATGGCTTGCCGATCGCCCGTGCAATGGTAATACTCTACCACTCTCGCATTTGCATTTCAGCTCTTGTTAACGGCAGTAACTAGCTCATCACTGACCCGCTCGATACGAGTCTGTTCAACACCAACGAGAGCTTTATCGACACGCAGTATCTGCTTGGTCACAATATTCTCGTTTGCCCCATCGTAGACCCCCAAGTCTATAACAGGGATGTCTATCTTCCAGGAACAGATCTGTGGTATCCCTCGAATCTTCGAGTTGACAATCAGAACTTCGGCCCAGACCCTATTCTCAAGCATGCTGCAGATCTGGAACAGCCAGTTAAAGGCGGTAGGATCATAAGTTACGGGTGCAGCCTTCCTGCGGCTTTCAATCGTCCCGATCAAGTGCCTTTTATCACCCCAGTCTATATTCGCGGCGGTATGTATCTTTCCTCAATAACGACGACAATCAGCTAATCCCTAGCAGGTGCTATCATTCCCCAACTTGATGTTCGTCAGTTCATAGGAGAGAATGACCTGAACCCACCAACCATACACTTTTACCCTGGTGGCAAGAAAGTTACAGTATGTCTGGTTCGAATCAACGGCGTAGAACAGTGAATTGACTTCCATCTTAGTCCTACTCCATGTATCTGGATGACGGGGTCAGCAAGGACAGCGCACCCAACAACTTGCCTCAGTACAAGTACCAGGACCCTGCCAAGTCGAAGAAACCCAAGGGCTTCTACAGGGAAGTCAAGATGACTCAGGTATGTCAATAAAGTCTTTTCATCTACGGTACGGCTAACAAAAGCATAGGAGAGCACCAGCACCGCTCGAACTTTGACAATCCGCCATCCGTGGAATGGGTTCGATGCAAAGTCAACCGTCGGCGATATATACAACCTAGCTGTGTGGACTGTGAAGACGGGAGGTGCGGCACCCCAGGTCCAAGTCTCATTTCAGGATGAGAACGGCAAGACTGTCGACGATGCTCGTCTGTCGCACAACTACGATGGTAATCGCGGCGTGTTGACCGTCAATGTGCCTGTGGATCTTGTGCCATCTCTTGATCACCCTGCCACCACTAATGGTACCTTGACAAATGGCTCGACTAATGGAGCCTCAGTCAATGGCCATAGCAAGGATAGACATATCGCTGTGAAGATCACTGGTCTTACTTGAAGGGGTCTGAAGAGCCTGTCTGAGGTGGAAATTATCTCTTAGACTATATTTCTTATGTATTTCCTTAGCTCTAATAATTGTAATAGTATCGGATTGTTTAACATGCACAACGCGGCCGATGCCCTTTTCAGCGAGAGCCTGTGGTACCGGGAAAAAGAGAAGGAAAAACGGAGTTCACAGAACTCTGACAGCCTTTCTCAGAGAAGCTACCCGTAGTCCTCGCAAGTCTAAGGACCTCGGAGTCCCAATAAACGATTACCTATATCTATCAACCTATATCATCCATCAGCTGCTCGAAGACTTTAGACTAATCGGCATTTAAAAAAAGAAGTATATTAATGGCATAGAAATACTAAAAAAGAAAAATTACTTGCCGTATCTTAAGTCAGTTTATAAAGCTCAATCCGAGTTTCAGTATCTGCTCACCGATTGTGTGACACCACCTCTGTTCTCTTAAAATTTGAAAAAGTGGTTGCCTTTTTACAGAACGCCTCTAATAAATCTCACATTTTCCAGTGGACGGGCTTTCTTGCCAAGTTTAGATCCTGTGTTGTATAGGCACCTTAGCACAAGTTTTATCGTTCAAGTCTTAAACACCTGTCGGTCCACGTGAATACTGTTACTCACCTCCTTGACGCAAAGATAAAGCAGGCTCGAGTAGGCCACGTGAAGATTGACCGGGCTTGACGAACACGAATTTCCTGCCGATGATGCGAGTTGTACAGAGGATATGATATATACACGTTCCCATATATCAGAATTACATTAGTAGCACCTCACTTACATATGTGGAGGAGGCACTTTTCCGAAAAACACGAGACCTCTTTAAACACTTCGCCTGTCATATAAACACATGATCCTCAATGTATTTATATAACTCATTAGCCACCTAGTCCTTGACATCCAACACAGCCCATAATGACTAGGGAAATGCAAGTAACGCAGTCTGAGACAGAGTGTATAACAGACGACAACCGAAGAACCTTCTGTGCTCGCTGGGCGCTGGCAAGAACGACATAATATTTACAATAATCGAGCTAACTATTCGTGCTCTGGTATCATAGACAACAGTTCCTTAGCATACGCAGCTGCTATCCCCGCAGCGTAGGGTTGCCAGTCCTTGTTCTTGTGGGAATCAGCATAGTCGCAAATGCCACGGATAACTAAACATGGATAGTTGTTCATAAGCCCAGCCGCCTCCATTTCGACGCATAGTGCTTTTGTATCCTTGCGGAGTCGTTCTCGAGTAGCGCCGTCGCGCAGGATCCTATTGGCCGATGCTATCGTCCCATAGTGAAACTTTGGCCGATTATTTGCACGTGGGGTGCGCAATTCCAATTGGAGCGGGTCGCAATCAGTGCATGAGAAATCGTTTCCTTCGTGAATATAGTCGTTATTGAACAGCTGATCGTTCTCCACGCCTGGATATGACCAGTTGTATTCTGAATCTGGGTATCTGGCTTCCATATGGGCCAAATGCCCTAAAATGGAAGACACTAACCCCGATGGTCCTGTAGCTTCTTGACTTTCTAGCTGTGAAGCGGTGCTGAGTAAAACGGTCGGCGGGTAATTCAGATGGCCCGTCGGTATAAAGCCACCACCAGGAACAGCTTTGCCAAAATCATACTGGATGACCTTCTGGCTGATAACAACATCTCCCAAGCGGACGTCAGAGTTTACGCTCGGTATACCGCCCCCAACACCCACCAGCAAAAAGCATTCTAATGCTTGAAAGGTTTGGACCATATGTCCTGCTACCACAGCCGCGGAGGTTGTACCCAAGATCCCCGATGGCAAACAACCAACGACGACCTTCAGATGTGCGATCCGTCCAACAGCGTAATTATTCTTATCCAGTTTGTGTTGCGAGGGGCGTTGGTAGACTTTGTCGAGCATTCCTTTAGCTGCTGCCATCTCTTTGGGCAACGCACAAATCCACCCGACCGTATAATCAATGGGCTTGGGAGATTCTTCGTTAGCGGCTGCACCAAGCCCGGTTTGCTTGAAGTTTAGACTAGCAGTCGTCGCGCTACTTCTTTGCAAGCCTTCAGCGTAAGATTGAACTTTGACAGGGTTCTCTACGCTGCTTGTGCTGGACTCTTGTGTACGACGGTGAGCCTTTGAAATGAAATGCTATAGTGATAGTTCTTAGCGTGAGAAACACGTAAAGGGTCATTCGTGAGTAATATCTAACCATCTTCAGATCATTTTCAGTCGGGAACCTTCGATTACAAGCTTTACAGTAAGTCCTGTAGTGATTCCTGTCCGCCATATGTTGTTTTGCCGCTTCTTGAGTATGGAATTTCGCGGCACAGATTTGACAAGGAATCTTAGGAATCGAATGCCCAACTTGTGTCATGTGCGCTTCTGCTGCAATTCGATCTTGAAATAATTTATTACATTTAGGGTGGTCGCACTTTTGCCTCGGTTTTCGATGGCCCGCTCCAGTCATGTGTTGCTTGCATGCTTCCTGCGTTGGAAACGTTTTAGGGCACGTCTCGCATTTAGGCATCTTCGCAATTCGATGGTCACTCCAGTGGATGATGTGAAGATCAAGATAATCAAGGCTTGTTGGAGTGAGGGCTGAGCCTAATCAATAACCCCGCACGGCATGAGCTTGAAAATACCCAAAACTCAACTCATTGGTTATCGACTGTAGCCAACCAGCTTGAGCATACGTTTATAAAGGATCTATCAGGTAAGTAACATAATTAACAAACCCCCATTAAAAGTTATAATATGGAAATGTAGAGTCGTTCAAACCATGAAAGTAAGCATGTAACAAGACTTTCGATCACTATGAGGTGCAACCGAAAAGATTGCAGAGATCATGCATATCAATGGCTGGCGGTAAGCATTCAGTTTTATTGCTCTCCTCAGGTAATGTCAACGATTGGCTGACTAAGAAGTGAGTTATTTAAGCAAACTCGATTACTATCATCTATTTTAATTTACTCTACCTTAAAAAAAGTCTGTTGCACCTAATGAAATTTTTAAATGGATCTGGCAAATTAATTTACGCTTTGGCTTTATGGCATTTCTTCAGATAAGCTGTCAGATATAAGTAATTATACCATCTGAACGTACATAAAAGATAAACTATTATTGTAATAAGATGACTTGATCTAAATAAATCAGATATTGGTCAGACTTTTATGAGCTTAATATGGCTGAGACCTGACGCTTGTGTCGCGCGACTTCAGGAGGCGCCGGGAGAGTTTCTTGTCCTAAGAATGCCCGGTCCCCTATCTTACCGTTACTTGTTGTTGTGAACCTCTGTCAGAAGCATGCTGTCGCAGCGGACGTGGCCAGCGTTGGCATTAAGCCCATCCGGGTATCGCCAGATATAGATAACCGTTACCAGCCACATCAACAAAGTATCGAATATGTACAACGTCCACTCATGAGAAAGAGAATATCCAGTGTAACCCTGAGCATATTCGATGATCCGAAAGATAGATCGGATCATAATGAGAAGACTGACAGCGTAAAGCATATAAAGAGTTGGCTTCCAGGGCATAATAGTGCCGATCGATTCGGCTGTTGGTTCGCGGATCATACGGCGATGGAAGACCAAGGATACAGTGCAGAATAGACCAAAGATGACGACCTGGACCACAAGACCGAGGATGACAATTCTTTCAGCCCACTTACTTAGACTTGCGTTTTGAACAACCGACATGCCAGCGCCACCGCCCTGGATCATGAAGGATAATACATCTCCCAGTACAAAGGTCCTTGTCAACTTGGTTGGCTTGAGGAGAGAGTGTTTATCGGCGTTGAGACCTCTGATGATTCGACCGAGGACCATGTAAATCGAGGCAGCGAAGAGCGCGGGGGCGACGAGGATGAACATGTTCTGAACGGCATATGGCATGATTTTGCTGGTTTTGCTATGAGCACCTGCGCGGACGCCATATCCAACCATCTCGACTGGAATACAATGTTAGGCGACAGGACAGAAATAGAAGGGAGGTGGTGGCAGCTTACAAAAACAACCGATGGCAAACACAGTGCAGAAATAGGTACGCGTCTTCCAAATCTTCCAGACTATGCAAAGCAATGAAGCCATGAAGAGCACCAAGAATATGGCGGCCGCAGCTACGCTTGGGGAGTATCGCCAGAGGTAGGCGCCGCCTTTGGTAGGTTCAACCCCGGGGACCGGTTCAAAGAGACCTTCGGTGGACATTACTGTTTGTTATGTAGATAGGCAGGTAGGAGATTGGCGTATGGCTTCGTTGCTACTATGGCGGGGCAGAGTTGGACAGGATAGATAGAAATTTCTAGTTTGATGATGGGATTTTGAACGGTCGAAGGGGGATGGAACAGGCGAATGGCAAGCTAATTTAAAGGTCTCGCAAAATTGATAAAACATGCATTAATCATTATCTACATCATTCGCAAAAAATGTCGGACTACATGAAACAAATCATTTCAGAGTATGGGCACGCGTCCCTGAGTTAGTTTTCCATCCATAATGCGAGCTATTTCTGAAATTGACGATTCAGGCCCAATAACTCGCATGCCCCAGTGGAGCACGGTTAACCAATCACATACTTCTGTAAACGAGGAACAATGGGTTTGTCTGTGCATACTGTTGAAGGCCAATCAGAAACATCTCTATACGGGCTCGATACGGGGTTAGTGTGCATCAGTGGATACCGCTAATCATATTTTCCGAGAGTTAAAAGCATGGCCTCGCCAATCCACGGTCAAATCCGATCCAGTGTTCACGTGCCTTGGAAAACCATAACTAGAATACGAGTATCCCCCTTCTTTACGGAAGCTAGGCTTGCTTTGCTTGTTCGCATAATCTCATTCCTTACCATCAGTCAATTCTCCAGGGCAGTTTCTTACTATGGCCCGCTCCAAGTCCAAGAAGTCTTCCGCAGACACTGACAGGCCCCTCAAACCACGCCGATCGCATCGCAAGTCTCGAAATGGCTGTGGCGCCTGCAAGCAACGACACATGAAGTGTGACGAATCTCGACCGATTTGCCTCAACTGCAAGATTTCCAACCGTGGATCCCAATGCATCTACATCAACATTGGCCAACAGCCATCACCGCCCCAAACAACATCAAGCGCGGATACGCCGTCGCCTTTCCATCTTTCTTCTCATCTTTCTCCCGCGGGCCCGACGTCAATATCGCTTAGCCCTGGTAGCTCTGCCAGTTCTTCTTGGACGGCACTCGGCGATACGCCAGGTAGAGGTGATTTGTTCGATCTTAGCCACTTCGCCCTTTATCATCATCTTCTGACGAATCGTCACATCGTCACATCAATCGACCCTTCCAATGAGAGCGCCATCTCTCACACATTAGACTATGCACTCAAAGCCCCTTACTTGATGAATCAGCTTCTTGCCCTCTCTGCTCTCCATCTGAGCAACCCCCCTTCGCTCCGGCAACCATATTATCAGCTTGCCACCAGTCTCCAGACGAGGGCGTTGGCCTTGTTCAATGAGGAAAGGCAGGAGGTTTCAGAAGAATCATGCGTGCCGATGTTTCTCTTCTCGTCACTTGTCGGAGTCCATGTCCTCTGCGATACTCTTCAAGGTCCAAGAGAGAGTTTCGGCGCTGTTCTCGACCGCTTCATCACTTATCTGTCCATTCACCGTGGTGTTCGTGCTGTGACGAAACATTCATGGAATATAATCAAGAATTCAGGACTTGGGCCTATACTGCAACAAATCGAAGACGCGTTCCCCGCACTCGACAACGAGATAGAAGCGACAGCTATCCTCCACGAGATGATCGACGCAAACGCCTCCTTGTCATCAGCTACCAAATACCACAACGCCGTTTCCACGCTTCAGCGGTCGTTTTCTCTTCATGCAGCACTGGATAAGCCTAACAGACGCCGATTCGATGCCGCGATAGCATTTTGTCTCGATGTTGATGACGAGTATTTCGAATTGCTGAAGAAGCGACAGCCAGAAGCCCTGGTGATCCTTGCATTCTTTGCAGTCTTGATGCATTGGAATCGATCTACATGGATAATCGGTGATGGCGGACAGTATCTAATACAATCCATTACATCCCATCTCGGGCTTCATTGGGCAGAATGGTTGCAATGGCCCAACTCAATGTTACAGGACAACATAGAGTAGTCCGAGTGATTAATCCATCCAAAACAGCAATAATAATCCACTGTACCTTTCGAACGCTGCTCGAAGTATTTATAGTGCCCCCTAATTAATGTGTACACATTCTAGGAAAGCCATGCTTGGGTTGATTGTAGCACATAACCTTTGTCAAAAGACATTGTAAGTAAATTGGCTTGCACTTCTATCTAAACCTGTTAGCCAGGTCGTCAGCCATGGCGAGAGACTTTCCTGTGCTTCAACATCATTCCAGCATTCGAGATCTGTCTCAAAAGTGCTTTAAAACCACGTAAGCAAGTCTTGGCTTTTGCATTGTCCCCTTTCATCTTCCTATGTCATTCTCACTAGGCTACATAGGAAGCTCCTAAAGTCTTTGCCACCCGGTAATGAGATTCGGGGTGCTCAGTAGAACAGGCAATGTGCGTAGTCGTCATCAGCCACATGCCAATTCCAACCCTTTGTCCTCAAAAGGCCAAGAGCCCATATTTTACGGGCTTGACCCCACAAAGGCATACGGATACGAGTATTGTCTCCCTTGGTGGACCATTCTCTGCCTCCACTATCACAAGGCATTTTCTTATCTAGACCCTGCAACATTAGTTGACCCAAGCATCTGATATGTTGCCGACTACGCGTGTAGAGAATGTCAAGTTTCAACCGTAAAATGAATAAAATGAGTCTTGGCATTACAAGTGCCACAAGTGGGCTTTAACATCCTTGCGGGCACCTTGAGATTGTTAAACATAAGAAGACCTAATCATACGCCTCTAGAGTATCAAAAGGTAAAGGACCCAAATGCTCTCCAACCTACAAGTCATCTTCAACCAAGCGACCCAATATATCAAGCACGGAACCATGTCTCTCTCTTGCTCTGCTGATGCTATCAGTCAGCCAGCTATCTTTGGAGGGAAGGTCATCGACTTTGCCGTCAGCTTGGTCGAAAACTATAATTTTGAGGCCAAGTCAACCCTTTACTATGGCCACCCGACAACCGTCGCTGAAGGCGTCAACTTTTGCAATATCACCGTCACCTACACTCACCCTGGCCAGAACGACACTGTCCACGTTGAAACGTGGCTACCCATGGACAACTTCAACGGTCGACTCCAATCCATCGGTGGAGGAGGCTGGGTCGCTGGACGATATCCGCCTGGCTACACTGCCATGAGCGGGGCAATCAGTGAGGGTTATGCCACATCGGCGACTGATGCTGGGCTGCAACTACAAATGGACTATGGTCCTGATATCTGGGCCCTCACTAGCGAGGGTAATCCCAATCTCTACCTCCTCCAGAACTTCGCTGCTGTCTCCCTAGGCGAACAGGTAGTTCTTACCATTTCTTTCTAACCTGTTTATGCTAACGAGACTAGGCAATCATTGCTAAAGGCTTGATCAAAAGCTTCTATGGGGAAGCACCCAAGTATTCCTACTGGAGTGGCTGTTCTCAGGGCGGAAGACAAGGCATGATGCTTGCGCAGCGATATCCAGAAGCTTATGATGGCATACATGCGTGTGCACCGGCAATCAGCTGGAATCAATTCTTCATGTCAACCTTTTGGCCTCAGCTGATTATGCAGGAGCTAGACTACTTTCCGTACCCTTGCGAGATGAACGCCGTCTTAGCAGAGGCCATAGAGGCCTGTGATGGACTTGATGGCATTATCGATGGAATCATCTCCAACGAAGACGCCTGTGACTTTGACCCAATGGATGTCGTCGGCAAATCGTTCAACTGCTCCGATAATGCTAAGAATATGAGTATCTCTGAGGAGGCATCCAAGATAGCCAAAGCGACCTGGTCAGGTCCGACTACCACTGATGGCAAGTTCATATGGTACGGCCCCAACACGGGGGCTCAGCTGAGCGGACAGTCGCTCCAGCTGACCAACGATATTGGACTCGCCATGACCACATGCACCAACGGGACTTGCCAAGGAGCTCCAGTGGGGCTTGGAGAGGTTTGGATCAAGTACTGGATAGAAGCCAACCCGGACTGGTCGTACAAGAATATGACCCGAGAAGCATTCGATACTTTGGCCCACGAAGCCGTTCAGCGATATGAATCAGTAATTGGGACCAACGATCCCGACCTGACAGCCTTCTACAAGAAAGGCGGCAAGATTCTGGGTTATCACGGAACGGTCAGCCTGATTTCTTATTCACACTCGTAACCCCAGCTAACAAGTTGCAGCACGATCAGCTTATTCCAGTCAAGGGCACAAGACACTACTACAACAAGGTGAAGGAGATGATCCCCGAAGTCGCAAGCTTTTACCGCATGTTTGAAGTTCCTGGGCTGCTGCACTGCTCCGGCGGCAAGGGAGGACAGCCCACAAACACGTTTGATGCACTCCGAGCTTGGGTTGAGAACGGGACTGTGCCAGCCGAACTACCTCATTCGTTCAAGGACGACAACGGTGATGAGCAACATCGTCTTCTCTGCCCTTATCCCCAAAAAGCGTGGTTGAAGATAAGTGACACTGATAAGGCCGGATATAAGTCTACTGACTTTGTTTGCGTCTGAGTACTACCACTGGTCGCCTAAGTTTAGGGTAGCTTAGCTGTTTAAGAGGCGTTATCGGCAATGCAGTAGATGCTTGCTATAGAGAAAGGGGCTGAATGAGAGATTTACTTTCTGTAGCTGTAGTTTAAAATTATTATAGTTGTTTCGTTTCTCTCTACTTTAGTGCAACCTTAATAGAATGCATTGAATTATTGTCCGCCCCAAAAATATTACGAAGGCTAGACCAGGGAGTTGCAGTATACTAAAATCTCACAATAGAATATGTAGTTTAAGTCGAGTTTGCCAGGACTGATGCAGTCGCACTCGTAACTTACCTAGGGACTTATTCTTTTTCGCCGTGTCAAGATTGGGAAATTACCGACACTCATAAGTTTATCGGAACTACACCTCGTGCATGGATGGGGAAGCACGATGAAGGCTAGCTGTCGGCATCCTTGTCATTCATACCAGGATTAGCTTTAATACGTACCCCGTAGAATTCATTCCGGGGTAGCAATATTGGTGCGTGCCGAGATCCGACAGACAAATGATATAAGCTGAAACCTGGAATCCTCCAGGATTATAACGGAATAAGCTATTTATCTTGCCTCTTGGCATGATTAGAAACAGTGACATCGAGTTTCAAAGCTCTCGCTACCTTGATTGCGATGGTCCTGTCTTTGCGCTTTGCTCGGCCAAGTGGATAAAGCTAGGGAGGACTCTACATGACTAGATGATCGCCAGGATATGGTTGGCTATTACGTACTCCACTCGATATCTTATCAGCGGTTATTTATCAGCTGCTAAATTGATAAGCTCCAACAACTGATAAATACTTTGATTTATCAAGCCTTGCCGTCTTGTCAAACATGGTCATTTTACCGCTTTTAATTATAAGATCATATCAAAGCAAGTCAACTCAATGCAGCGTAGATCTGCAGGTACTCAAAGACAGCGAGCCTTACAGGCCTGCGACTTTTGTCACTCCAGAGGCCTGAAGTGTCGCCGATCATCCATGACCGAGACGACATCCCGGGACGGCCACAGACCTTGTCTCACGTGCATCGATTACGGGGCCGAATGCACAATGAATCGGCCTGTTCGGAAACGGGGTAGGAAGCCAGCGGTGGCAACTGGGAAAAGCAACAGCCAGAAGCAGACCGGGAGTGAGAGCTCTGATTTCAGGTCTCCCCAATGCATCCGTCGTCTAATAGACATCTACCGGGATACAATGTACCAGTGCTAGTAGGTCGTCTCCCTACCCCATTCGCTGAAACTGCCGCTGAAGTAAACAAGTTTTCCATTTCTTTCCGAGAACGACCTGGAAAGACGGTGGGCAGACAGCATACCTGGTGCCAGTGAGACAGCGTACCTGCTTCTAATGGCACTGTGTGCACTGAGCGCCCAGAGTCTCACTCTCAAAGCGGTATTCGATAGCACGCTGCTGGGCAATGTTGTCTCGCATGACAGTGACATCTATTTCGACGAGGCCGTTTCCCACATTCCAGCACGCATTCCGGATACACCTGATCTTGACTACCTAAGGTCATTCGGCCTCTTGGCTGTGTACTCGCTGAGAAGCGGTAGCAAGAGTGACCTTCACAGATACCTCGGATTATGCCATGCATGGATCGCTCAACACGGGTTCAATATGGAAAACAACTGGGACAGCTCCATCTCGCTACTAGAGGTAGATGACCGAAGACGTCTATTCTGGTGTGTCTATCGGCTTGAGATTCATTCAGCCTGCGTCCTTGGACACATCATCCGTCTCCCTGAAGCCCAGGTCTCGGTGCTTTACCCTCGTATCACACCTGCTATGAGTCGCGAGACGCAGGCCTGGACAGCTGGATGGGATTATATCACCGATCTTTTCCGATTGATGGAGTATGCGATACTTAATCTTCGTCAGCAAAAGCCCCATAGGGATGTCGTTGCCGTGTTTTGCGACCGACCACCCCCAAGGGCATTGCTCGATAGTCTGGATCAACTAAAAGCCAGCAAACCTTTTATACTCCGCGTCCTTTCACAACCACATGACGACTTTCAGAGCAATCGGTGCAAGTTCATGGCAGTTCAAATAACTTGCACTGAGGCCCTTGTAAATATCATGGGTCTGCTTCATTGCCAGGCTCCAGTTGATGAGGTGATCAAAGTGGCGGAAGATTTCCTGAATGAGATCACTGAAGCTTCTCTTATCATGTTCAAAGTCGCAAGCAGTCAGATTGTTCACCAACTGCTTGGTGTTGGCCATATGGTTTATAATGCATTTCTTTATGACGAGAACCAATCCCAATTTGCTGTAGGGCGGCTCGTTACATATCTAGAGGATATTGTCAAGAATTTGGAACAGGATATTCCCACGGCGACCGAGGCAAGAGAGCAATTGCGAAAGCTGGCAAAATGTATTATATAAACTGAGTAAATGGGAAATGAACTGTCCTTGCGCAATATCTTCTTTTCTTCCGAACTTGGGCAAGTGATCTGCTGGTTCCACTATGACTCTCGTTCCCTTCCTCATTCGTGCGAAACAGCCATGCTAGCCATGTACTTCCGGTAGGATGGTATGGACCATCGTCGAATTCGCTTCCCGTAGACGATCATGACGAAGAAAGTAAGTGTACACGCAAGTGAAATCATAGCTGCAGTGATAAAGCAGTTCTTTAACCCCTGGGTTGTCCACCATGGCGTGATAGCATAACTAAAGCCAAATCCGATCGTATTGCGAATCAACATGATGGAGACAGTTGTTTCACCTGCGATCTCTTTGAAGCAATCGACGTTGTAGCTGACAGCGACCGCACCTCCAGCAACACATCCAACCGTAAGCATACCTAGCCCAAACACAAGGCCGATCCAGTGGACGTGGTAGTATGCACCAACACCCCATATGATGAGGCCAGCTGATGAGATGATACCTGAGAGAAGCAGCACCCAAAGGCGTTGCTCGGACTCCCTGATACCCCCATTGCGTCGCGCTAGCCACAAGGCGATCCAGTCTGCTGCCTTTCCAACCCAGAGACAAGCAACAGCTGCTCCAATAATCGGTCCTGCATATACGCAACCAACCAGTGCTGCATTCCAATTGTATGGATTGCTTGACAGAACAGGACTGGCAGTTCCATTCAGGACATTGTACCAGGCAAGGTTGATTCCATAGAGAAATCCAGCCCACGCAACTGTTGGAAACTGGAAAATCATAAGAACAGGCCGGTAGACCATTCGTAGCATGTCCGTGTTACTGGGCCGCCCTGTCACAACCTTGAACCAAGTGTATTTCCCCCAGCCTGAGTTGATATCCTTGTAGATGACCGATGGGGAAGACGGCAGAGAGTTTCTCGGCGATCCTTCATCTGCTTTTCCGTCGGCTTTGGACTCCCTCAAGTCTTGGTGTTCGTTATCGGTAACTGTTTGGCTTTCAAGTGATACTCCACGGAAGTACATTGTTTCTTCCATAAAGACGAACATAATAAGGAAGCAAATTGCGCATATAATTGCCCCGAAATGCATCGTCCATCTCCATCCAAAGGCATCGTTGAACCATCCTGCGACGAGAGGGGCAAGGAAGTTGGACCCAAAGAGGATGGCCACGTAGAGACTCATATAAGTCCCACGGTTATGGGCGAAGAAGAGATCGAACACGGTAACCTCACACAGAGACTCGATTGGAGATACAATGATGCCAATCAAGATCCTGTGGGCAAACCATTCCCCAGCAGATGTTGAGTAGGCAGTCCAAACCATTATCGGAATCGTAAGCAGCATGGTGATAAGATAGACGCCACGCCGTCCGTATGTAAGAGCGATCGGTTGCCAAATCAGACAAGCCCAACCAAAGAATAGAAACATGACTCCTGTTCCCTGGACGAGATTTGCAGTAGAAATGCCGGTATCCTTCGTGATATCTGCCAGGACAGAGTATTGAAGAGAGGTTGCTATCCCGGTGCCCAAGACATAAAGATAAGACATGCTGACGGCCAAGAGCTTTCGACGATGGGACCAATTGAGCGGGTCATTTGGATCGGAGCTTGGGCGAGGAACCAGGACAATGTCTCTGTGCTGAGAGTCGTGGGGCCCTGACGAATTCATCCCATTGATGTCAACGAGACGAACGGTGCCAGGAACATCGTCATGGTAGACTGAAGATTCCGTCATCTTGGAGAACACGCAAACAATTGAGATGTTAGAATATCGAGACATCAACTTGATTGTAACGACGGTCATGGGTTTATATCCAAATAGAAGTGCTCATTCTTTCCATGTTACTATCAACGATAAGACAGTTATGGGCAGCGTGTAACCGTGTCAGCGAATCAAAAGTGCGCGATAAGAGCTTATCAGACTTTCCAGTTAGATAAACTGTCTTATCCTGATAAATGAAATCAAAAGCTGATAAATAATTCATCAGCTGCTAATTAATATAACAATTGGCTTCAATCTCAATTCAATCACATTGTTTAACAGCTGCATATTATAATTAACAGTTGTAATTCCCGCGCACTGCAACATGGCTAGGTACCCCAAGACATGTTACTTTAATACTTAAATCGTCTTTTCTCATCAATGACTTTACTGTAAGCCTGTAATTTCCATTCTTCTGCATCACCTAGAGACAGCCCCGAAAGAATCCAATCCTTCCCAACATGGCAATCGACGACCAGAGTACTGTAAGCCGTATTGCCATCATATGTCAAAAGGGTTACACAAATACTGACTCTGCAGACACTCTCCATCGTAGAGGCTTCAATCGCATCCCTTGCATCTGCACTTTCTCAAGGACATATCAACAGCGTTGAGCTGACCACCAAGCACTTGCTGAGAATCGCCAAATATGATCGCCGAACCACTCAGCTCAATGCTATCCCAGTAATCAATCAAGATGTGTTTGTTGCCGCTCAAGCATCGGATCACCGTCGCTCCATGGGCAAGACACTGGGCTTGCTGGATGGAATTCCTTGCACGATCAAAGATTCTTACAAAATCCGAGGTATGACGGTAGCTGCTGGGTCTCCCGCTTTCAAGGACCTCATCGCAAATGAAGATGCGTTCACTGTTGGGAAGCTGAGAGACGCTGGCGCTGTGTTCTTGGGTCGTACCAACATGCCCCCAATGGCTGCAGGTGGTATGCAGCGAGGCGTTTATGGTCGTGCTGAGTCGCCCTACAATGAAGCCTATCTCACGGCTGCTTTCGCTTCTGGATCATCCAATGGATCCGCCACAGCGACCGCAGCAAGCTTTGGTGTCTTTGGTATGGGAGAGGAAACCATCTCATCTGGCCGTTCACCTGCTTCCAATAATGGTTTGGTGGCATACACTCCCTCCAGGGGACTCATATCAATCAGAGGCAACTGGCCTCTTTTCCCCACCTGCGACACTGTAGTTCCTCATACAAGAACTATGGAAGACATGTTTGCGCTTTTGGATGTCGTTGTTGCAACAGACGACAAGACAAGCTGCGACTTTTGGCGTGAGCAGCCTTTTGTTAAGCTCCCAGACGTCGATACTGTGCGACCAAAGACGTTTTTTGATCTCTCTGACCCCAATGCTCTCAAGGGCAAAAGGATCGGTGTTCCAAAGATGTACATTGGTGGCGCGGACTCTGACCCGGATGCACGAAAGGTTCATACCCGCGACAGTGTTATCGACCTTTGGAAACAAGCCAGGACCATACTTGAAGGCCTAGGCGCCACAGTTGTTGAGACTGACTTTCCACTCGTCACTGAATTCGAGAAACCTCTCACTGGTGAGTGCAAAACGGAAACACCTCCTCATCGCAATGAGATTGATATGTGCCAATTGATGGCCTATTCTTGGGACGACTTCCTGGCAGCAAATCGAGACTCCAAAGTGGCATCGTCTCTTGCACAAGTCGAATCATCCACTATATTCCCCCATCCTCCTGGATGCCTACCAGATAGATACGATGCCAACGATCCTCTTGTTCGACATACGGCTGTCGTTGCACATATCGCCAACGGCCGTATCCCGACTTACAATATCCCAAACCTTGCAACGGCACTTCAAAACCTTGAATTGAAGCGCAAGTCAGCATTTGAAGATTGGCTTGATGCTTTGGAGTTGGACATGGTTGTATGGCCCTGTAATGCCGATGTGGGCAAAGCTGACGCAGATGTCGATGAAGAGTCTGCAAAGCATGCATGGCTCAATGGTGTTCTGTATTCGAATGGAAACTGCGCAATTCGCCAGTTTGGTATACCGACAGTCAGCGTGCCAATGGGAGTCATGGCTGATACGAGAATGCCTGTCAGTCTCACTTTTGCATCCAAGGCCTATGATGACAACAACTTGTTTCGATATGCCTATGCCTTTGAAAAGGGCAGCTTACTTCGTCAGCAGCCGTCGAGAACCCCTCAGCTGGCAACAGACTCTATTATATGCGGGCACGGGAGTAGCAATATCGAATCGACACCACCTCAGCTCACTATGGATGCCACAGCGTCAATTATAGATGGAGAAAGGCAATTGGCAATTTTCGGTACAGTTGATGAGGACGAATTGTGCGAGTTGCATGTTTATGTTGATGGGGAGGAGTTGGAAGACGTCAAGGTTACCAATGGGAAATGGGAGGTACATGTGAAGATGAAGGAAGCACAGAGGTCTCGACCAGAAGAAATAAGCGTCCCTGATTTCAGTAAGTCAATGGTCTTGGCTTTAGTCAAAGGGAAGAAAGGAAGGTCTACTGCTAGCATGATATTTATTTAGTCACAGCGTAACTATCACACATTCTCTTATATCCATCTATTGACTGGCCTTCCTCCATCATCGTCATGTATCTAAATAACATCAAGATCTAGTTGCTTGTTTCCCAAAGTTACTAATGTCGGGAAACTAAGAGCTTCAATCGCTGCAGGCGCCTTCTCCCCTAGTGAGCGAAACACCTCATCCAATGCTTCCCACTTCTCATAGCGACGCTGGCCGCCTTCGTCATATGCAGAAACCTCCAAGTCCTTCACTCGTGACCGCACGACCCAGCCCTCCCGGGAATCTGCCACTGCCACTGCCTCATCTACCCATGTATACTGAGGCCAAGGCTCTTCTCTATAGGCAAAGGCCGCCCATCGTCGCGCAAAACCGATGCAGACATCGCGCTGTCTCTGGAGAGGTAAGCGCTCCATGAACGTCATGAATTGGTAGACGAGTTCGATGAAATGGTGGCCAAGGACGTTAGAGAAGAAGGAACCGGGGAATGGATTACGCAGTGAAAGAATACAACGATATTGTTTCTTACCACTCTGCCATAGCTCTTTTGATAGGATGTGGCAAGGTACTGTTTGCGTCTCATGTTAGTTTTGCTGAAACTGATGGGCTGAATGGGAGATCATCTTACAGGAGAACATGACATCACCACAGAATGTGCATAACCTGGTCCAGAACAGGTTCTGGTCCATGGTTCTGGATATTTCATATATCTCTAATACTCTCTTGGCATTCTCTGCTCCAAGCGCATTTTCCACGTGTTGGTAAAAGACCTCAGATCGCACACCAAAGAGGTTGTGTGCAAACAGATAGCCCTATGCTCTGTCAGAATTGTAATATATAGAAGACACTCAATGTACTGACTTCAAAGACTGTATCGCCCGTAATGATAGCATCTATCCAAGAGCAATTGGATACTATCTGAGCATGATTGAGGTAATTGGGAATGATTGGAAAGAAGCTTTTGTCGGCCAGTGGTGAAAAGGCTGCCTTGTTGATAGACGAGGCTGCCTCGACAATCTTGGCAGTTGGCACAGCTCTGAGCTTCTCGAGGCGCTGAGGATCATCCAGACTGATCCCACAGAAACTAAGGAGTGCCTGATATTCTTCTTCCTTGTTTGCAAGGGGCTTGGGACTGATTGCAGATGCAGTTCCGGATTGCAGAATAGCTCGATCGAAGAGGGGGACGTTGGAGCTCAGGTGGAAGGCGAGTGAGGAACTGCCAGCGCTTTCGCCGAATGCGGTGATCCTGTTGATGTCACCGCCAAAGCCCGAAATGAACTTCTGGACCCATTGGAAGGCCAGACGTTGGTCGTATAATGCAAAGTTGCAGGGGTCTTCGTTGAGTGTTGCGGCTTCGTGGACGAGGTCCTAGAGATTGTCAGAGTGGGCTCCTGTATGTGTCACATATAGGCCGCTACTTGCCTGGCACGCCAGGAATCCCAGGAAATGAAGTCGGTAGCTTGACCCGGTTAGTAATCAGTCATCATGCAGGTGAAGCAGGAATTTGTTTACTGGATGCTCACTACGATGATGGGTCTCGAGTCCTCGCATGCTTGTGTCACCATTCTTGTTGTATCTGTAAAATTGTTATTAAGTCGACACGCCTTTCTGGACGGGACAGGAGTTGAGTTACCATTAGGGCCACCATAATGCGCGCCAACTGTAAAGCCTCCACCATGGACGTATACCATGACCGGTACTTTTTGGGTACTCCCAGACTTCAAAACCGACACTGGTGCTGTGATGGTCAGGTTGAGGCAGGAAAACTCATCGTATTCTCGTTTTTTGTCCCCTGGGATTGGACCGCCAAATGGCTCCATGCCCTGTTCGGTTTGAGGACAAGCATGGCCGTATTCCGTGAACGTGCGCTGTTTCGGTGGTAGCTCGCTGATCAATGTGGCGTGTCGGAAACGTGCAGCAACATGACCGTATGGAATGCTACGAAACTGAACAACATGCTCGTTTCGCTTTTTTCCAATAATTGGACCTAGTTGAGGGTGCTCAAACTCCTGAGGATGGAAGCCATTAATGATCATCGTGTCAAAGCTGTTGATTAATAATAGACTATTGATTGCTTGCGTCTCAACATATTCAGGCAACATCTACTCTTTTAAATATCCAACAGCCACAGACGGAGTTCGGAGACCTAAAGTGCGGGCAATGCAGCTCCACTCTGGTCGATCCATGTCCATCGGGGGCGCTAGGGGCTCCTTTTTACCTTGTCTACAATAGTTCCCCACCATCGGGCTACCATGCTTACCGGGGTGAGCGATACCAAGATACGAGCTTGGTGACTCCCCAAATGTTGTGTGAGCAACGGGACGGAAGGTCCGGGGAAATGGTTGTGTGACGATAAGCAAGATAAACTCAAAACGACCAGGATCTTGTTCAATAATCCTCTACACTGTAGTCTTTTCAGAGACTGGAACGTAATTAAACCTTAGCATTAAACTTAATAGACGGGGAGAGACACTAAGGGGACGAGACAAAACTAACATGTACGAGTAAAACAACATATTTACATTAAATCCTAGTTCCCCTCATCTCCATTCTCTGCACCTATGGTTCATCATCATCATGCGGAACAAATGGAGCATAGATAGGCAGCGGCGGCCATTCAGGCCGAGTGTAGGCACGAGAGAAGACATGTCTTCCAGACCCCACGGATTCCGGCTCTCCACCAGGCAGTGTGACTTCTGCCTCTGTATTTCCAGGAATTGTGGCCGACAGATGTATCTCATCGCCTCTCAGTTCCCAACTTATGTCTACCTCACCATAGGGGCTGAGGAATCGAGCATGACAAGACGTGATTGTTGCTCCTGGCACTGGAGAGATCCTTATTCTCTTCCAACCAGGCTCCAGTGGCTGTATACCGGCAATCGTGGTGTGCATCCAGTTTGCTACAGCTCCCAATGCATAGTGATTGAAGCTTGTCATGTTATATGAGTTTAGTGTCCCGTCTGGAAGCATACTATCCCATCTTTCCCAGATGGTTGTAGAGCCCATAGTGACCGGGTAGAGCCAAGATGGCGGCTTTCTGTGCATGAGCATTCTATAAAAGAGTTGGTGTTGGTTGATCTTGTTGAGCGCATGTCCGAGAATAGGCGTCCCTGCGAAGCCTGTAGCGATCTTGAAACGCGCGTTGCGTCTAATCAGATGGACAAGACGCGCTGCTGCTGTATCTTGCTGCCTGGAAGTGGGAAAGAGCGAGAAGTGAATGGCTAGTGCTAAGGCTGTCTGGGTGTCTGACACGACTCTTCCTTCGTCAGTGATGTAAATCTGAGCAAAACGCACACGCAAGTCGGCTGCTTGTTTTGTCCACAGCTCACGTTCTCTCTCAAGACCCAAGATGCCAGATATCTGGGCTATGATATCTGTCATGTGGATGAGAAAAGCATTCGAAACTAGAATCTCGTCTGTCGGTCCATTGCCCGGGTCATCAGCGGGTGCACCAGGCTCAAGCCAGTCACCAAGTTGAGAGTGATTAGGATCCCACAGAAGGCCATCTTGGTCTCGCTTGACACCCTTTGTTAACCACTCATTCATGTTATCATAGAGATCTGCAAGAAACGCTGTGTCGCCGGAGGACTGGTAAAGATCCCATGGTACACTGATGAGTGCATCTCCCCAGATAGCAGATGGGATATTTGGACGCCCTTTCCAGATATTGGGAGAGAAAAGCGGCGAGATACCCTTGCCATCTTCGGTCTGCTCAAAAGCCAGGCCTCGAAGCCAAGTTTTGAGGATGCCTCCAGTATCATAGAGATAGGCTGCAGTGGGAGCGAACGCTTGTAGATCCCCGGTCCATCCAAGACGCTCATCTCTTTGAGGACAGTCTGTGGGAACCGAGATGAAATTTCCCCTCATGGACCAAACTACATTCTCATGTAGCTTATTCAACATCTCATCTGAACACTCAAACCATCCAGTTCGGGGCATATCTGTGTGGATGACGACGGCACGGAAGTTGTTCAGGTCGACTTGATCAAAGTCGTAGCCTGTGATCTGCACGTAGCGAAATCCGTGAAACGTGAAACGAGGCTCATACACCAGAGGCTCACCCGACAAGATGACTGTGTCGGTACACTTGGCGTCTCGAAGTGGCGCAGTGGCACACTCACCATTTTCCAAGACCTCAGCATGTATGAGACGAACAGTATGACCCTTTGGCCCAGTAAGATCACATCGTACCCAGCCAACCAGATTCTGCCCAAAGTCAAGGATGGTGCTTCCTTGGGGGCTCTGCAATTTCTTTTGTGCGTGGAGGGTTTGTATTCGCCGGACTGGTGGGCTATCAGATGGTACTTGCAAGGTCGAGAGATTGACTTGACCAAGGCGAACGCTCTGCCAGCCCTTGTCCAAGAATGACGGCTCGTTCCATCCAGGGCATTCCAACCTAGAATCGTATAGTTCACCATCGTAGATCTCGGCTTGAAGTAAGGGGCCGTGGCTCCATCTCCAACTTCTGTCTGTTCTGACAACCTCTGTGCTTCCATTGTTGTATGTGATCAGAATTTGAGCAAACAAGCCGACTGAAGAGCCCCAGATATTCCTCTCACCACCTGCAAAGCCCAACCTGCCGCAATACCAACCCTCGGCAACCTCCGCGGCGATGACATTCTCTCCTTTCTTTAGCTGTATTAGGAGATCGAAAGTCTGGTACGGCAGTTGATGGTCATAAGACGTCCACCCAGGCGCAAGCACGTGGTCTCCGATCCTGGTCCCGTTGATGAAGCTCTCGTAGAGACCGTGTGCGGTGATGTATAAACGAGCCTGTTGTGGCGCTTCCTTGAGGTGAAAGTCCTTTCTGAATCTCACTGGTTGAACTGGCTTGGACAAGTCCCGATTGATTGAGGGTTGAATCAAGGTACAGTGCCAGTCGGTGGTTTCGAGTAATCCAACCTCGATCTGCAGGGGAGCTGACCATGACGTCCACAACGAATCCTCGGACTGGGCCCGAACTTTGAGTGTTACAAGCTCTCGCGATTCTAGTCGTCGGGATGGCCATGGTACATAAAGTGACTGTGAGGATGCGACCGAGAACGTTTCGGTCTTTCTGGGTTGACCACGATGTAGAGAGACCTCATATGCCCGTTGAGACCACTTTTCTTCCAGGCCTTCAAATGACCAAGAGATGCGAGGCTTCTCCTCGTTGATGACTGCGAATTCCCAGTAATGCTCAACACGTAAGTTAATGACCTTCATGTGAGCCATTATGTCTATGGTCGTTGTACTTCCTGATCTGATAGCGGTTGTGCGTCACTTGGCTTTGAGGGGCAGAATTAACTTTTATGGTCTAGGGTAGTGATGACGAACTTGGCGGGGATATGCCCCAACCGACGTTTTGCCATTCGCTGGTAAATACCCCGAGCAATGATCATGGCAAACTCCAAAATACCTCTAGTACTAGTTAGGTTAAGTAAAAACACTTGCGAGGTTGGGCGGGTCTGGTTCGTGGTTATTAAACATGAGCCCCTCAGCTGACCACAGCAGCTACCCGCTCACAAATTGAGACGGGTAATCTTCTCCCAAGGATCAGCCAATGTAACCAAGACTTGCTTACCAACTCAAACGCTATCATCCCGCTGCCGATTAGGTTCCAGGCCATCCATGACTTCTCCACCCACTCGGTCATGGTGGTCCTCATCGGTTGAATCTACACTAACATGGCCGAGCGTTCGCCCCTACCACCTCTTGAAGGCGCCTCTGACCTCGGTTATTGACATGAACGACGACTTTGAGGCTGTAAGGCTGAATGCGGATCCTCACTATGCTTCGGTTCGTCTGCCAGTTCATCTCCCCCCTCCCAATGGGGCGCTTGATGATCGAGCCGAAATGACGCAGCTTATCGAACGATTCGTCAAGTACATTCACGCTAAGCAGCCCCTGGTCGACCTCGGGGTTCTCTACAGTCAGATCTCCGTGGTAGAGGAGGAAGGGCTTGGCTGGGATGCACCTACATGTCTGCTGGTAGCTACTGCAATCCCCAAGTGCCTTAATAGTTGTGAGACGTTCAATTTTAGCTGACTATCAAAATAGTTAATGGCTTGTGCCCTAGGGAGTATCTGCACGCCATATGACCACAGCAAGTTAGAGGAGTACTCAGAGGCGTCAATAGATCCGGAACAGTACCTGCGCAGCCGCGAGTACTTCGATGCCGGCCTCAAAAGACTTGGTTTCATTATGGGCCATGCGAGCATTGTCGGTGCACAGTGTTTCTTCCTGACTGCTGGGTACTACGTAACGACATTCAAACCGCTCGCCTCATGGAGATGCTTGAACAACGCGAGTATCATGTGCAAAGATGTATTGACCAAGAGCCTAGGCGGGTCAGCCATGATTCAGGCGGCTTTGGGGAACACGAAGAAGAAGCCTGATAATGCACATCGTAAACTCTTCTGGAGTTGCCTCAAGACAGAGAGGTTTGAGCCCATTCTTGAATGGCCCCCCACCGAGCCTCCCATGCTGATGATCGCTTGATAGAGAAGTCGCCTCTGAACTGGGGCTTGAAATTGCAAACGCTCAGCTGATTCAGTATGAGAACATGTCATCCCTTCTACCGGACCTAGAGCCTTCATGGTCATCCCCTTCTGGCATGGGTGGCAGTTCTGATTCATCGGCCGTACAGCACGAGCAGAGCTGGATGTACTACTTGACAGACATCTCGCTTCGGAAGCTAGAGATCCGAATCGAATCATTTTTCGCCACTCAACAGGCAGAGCAACACCAACCAGTCAACGTGGACCGCGAGTCATTCTACCGAGACATTCTCAACACCCTGTCAGATTTAGATAACCAGATCATGGTACATTTCGTTAATCTTCCGGATTCTATCACCATTGAGACGGACGAGTCCGGCCATTCCCCCGACGACCTGCGAGAATATTTGAGGCTCCGATTGATTATCATTCGCCACACACTGAGCAGGCCTGCCCTCCACTTCATTCTTCATCGAGACCTCGACGGACTATCCATGTCGCTACAAGCCCAGGCCAACGAGCTTGCAAATAGAGCTCTCCGGATCGATAGATACCTTGTAACCCATGGACTTACTACACATCGCCACCCCGGGACCTGGCTCGGTATTCGTTACTGTGCATGTGCGGCTTTAGAGATCATAGCCACAGCAAAGAGTGGTATACCGGGTCTAGACTGTCTTCCAGTCTGGGAGCCCGGCATGCAGAAGTTGAAGATTGCACTTGCGTATTGGGGTGCTGAGAGTGCGGATGCCAGGATGTATCTTGAGTGGATTGTGCGCTTGGAATCACCACCGCTAGAAACTGGTTGTGAGACTGGTGTTTCAGCCATGGATGCTGATTGAAGGCGCGGAGAAATCTAATCATTCCATGTCAAATTGGCTGAGCAAATGTCCGCACTTCCATGTATTGGTCCCTTCGTCGTGTGATAGTAGCATGCTCGTGTGACCAGCAACCAAGTAACGCCAGTCTGCAGGCAGCTTCAGTGAGTGGCAATGGGCAAAATCCATCTCCCCACAGGCTGCTTTTGTTTTGGCGTAGTATACTGCAAGGAGTGTCAGGCAACCTACGTACGAAAAACGGTACGAGAACTCTGCTTCAGGATTGTGGCAGGTTGGATTGCTGGATGCGGCACTACGGCTCGACAGAGACTCTCTACCTTGCCACTCCTTGAGACGTGAGTTCATTACCTCAGCTGTCAGCGAGAGACACTCATCCGCAAGGCTTGCTATCTCTTTCAAGATGCGTTGGGGTGACTGGACAGGTGGAGGATTGGCGTCGGAATCCAATTTCTGTAGGAGGGGAGGCGAAAGGTGCAGGTTCAAGTACAAATAAACGCGCAGTAAGCGCACCGTGAGCTCTTTTTTCTGCATCCTTACATCTTCAAAGATCGTCTCACCGAATGAATGACTAAGTGCAGTCGAGCTTGAAGCTTCCCCGCAGATGATGCTCCTTGGGTCTGTGAGTTGGTTGAGACGCCATCGCAAATCTTTTGCTTGGCCATGCAACGAATACAGGTCAAGCCAGCTGGAGAATGTTGATATGGAAGCCAGGAGTTTGTTGATGTCTTTTCGAATTGGGTGCAACTGCTGTGGATTGTTTGTGAGCTTGAAAGACAAGCCTCCAGCCAAGTCTTCCGCGTGAAGACTGATCGCAGCAGGAAGATTGGGGCTTTCGTTTAGTGAAAAGGTTTCGTTGGTAGGTTCCTTTCGGCCGTTGTATGGGGAAAGCTCCAACTCAAAATTCAAACGTCTGTAACAGATAGGTCAGTATCATGACTGTGCATCATGATGCAGTGGATAACGGAATTGGAGACCTACTCGAGCAGGTCGGCACAGAGGACATGAATGAATCGTGCCAGATGCCTCTCAATATCCGGCAAGCTTGGAAATACCATATCCCTCATACTCTCAATAGCACGATAAAACATTTTGCGAGCCCTTCGTGGCGCGAAGTTCAGCAGATGCCAGAACCCAGCTAGGCACAGACATTGGGCGGCGAGCAGACCTGCAGGCTCGTCAAGGGCCCAGCCGAGTCTCCGCTTTGCCATAGTCCAATACTGATACGCAGGCCGGCGCGAGTTAGGCATACATGAGCCTGAGACAGCAGATGCTGGACTCATTGAGGCGGCTTGAGGCGTCAAGGCATCGTGAGCGGAGCAGTCACATAGGGACGCGATAGCACAAGCCAGAAAGACGAGACATGTTTCAGCACTCCAATCTCCGTCGCTCTCTGCTACATTGCGGACGCAGCGAGTAAGCCAAGGTCTGCTGATAATGGGATACCGAGCCAGGAATTGAGTCTCGAAGCGTTGCTGCAGAGCTCGGAGTCCGGCAGAAGACGTATCGGCAGTAGCCTTGGAGTTAGTGGACCTGTCAGGTTCATACGGGTCCGTGGTGTTGGTCGGGGATTGGGCTGATCTCGGAAGCTGATTCCGCAAAACATCCCACTGTAAAATGTTCTCGGCGCTCGACATCGGCGCGAAGCATCCCTGGCCTCTATGGGCACGAGGCCAAGTACCGTGTTCGTTATCCGGCAGCGTAACCGAGGTATGGTTGAGCGGGCGATCAGCATTGAGTCTGATTGATGCACCGAGAATTTCATCCCTGGCCCTTGATATAGCACCAAGTATCTGATTGCCCCAATCATCCAATCTAGATGACAAGGAATTGTTAGCTAGTTTTCGGTAAAGCCAAGAGGAGGTCCACCCACGGGCTCGTCTGACTGTTCTGGCCTCGGATGCAAGATTGGCGACGGCGCTGGCACCACGAGCAGGTGGGAAAGCCGACGCAGCGAGTCTTCCTGAGTCTGCAAGCCTCACACGCAAGTCCCGTACGGGAACTACTACCAGGCGGTGGGAGCTCATCACCTGACGAGACCATGCTATTGGTTGACTTGGTACGCTTTGAGGCTCGTTCTTCTTCCATTGTCAAGTACCGCTCGGCGGAAAATGTAGCGAAACTAGTTTGGATGATGTAGAGAAAAAGAAGGGGGGTAGTGGAATTATCGGGGACGAGCCCCGACATTTATGGGCAGTCCTAATTCCTTCTGGGCTAGACCAACCCCGGACCCCAGACCCCGCAACCAGGGGCTTTGATTGCGCCTAGCGGAAAGTCAAACCCCGCATTCTGTAACAATAACAACTGATTTTCCAATTGACTTGGCGCAGAGACGGTTTGTAACCCAATTTCTACATACAACTTCCGAATAATATAAATCACCATGAAATTACTTGGTTTTTCCAGTCACTCCAGATCCAATAGCCGAGCACCCATCACCAACAACTAACACAATGGAGCACGGCACCAAGCCCAGCGTCGAGATGGTAGAGAGCAAGAAGGGGGACGTCTCCTTGGCCGTCAACCAGCACGATGCCACCTCCCTCACTTTGCTACAGTCCCTCAAACAGAACTACAAGTCTGTTATCTTCAGCATCCTCATGGCAACAGGCCCCATGGCCTTTGGCTTCGATATTATCATTGTTGGTGTCGTCACAGCCTTCCCGGCCTTTCTGTAAGTTCCACCAATACGATGCATCCTAGTGGCAGTAGAATTATTCTAATTCACCAAAACAGGCAGAGATTCGGCGAGCTTCAAGATGGAATGCCTATTCTGCCATCTATCTGGCTGTCTCTGTGGAATGCTTCGATGCAGATTGGTTTTATGATTGGTTCCGTCATTGTCGGCTGGGTCGCTGATCGATTCGGCCGAAAGATTTCTATGATGACCGGATCTATCATCACCGCGGCCGGTATTGCGGTGGTATATACATGCGACTTGAGCGACTCCATGGGCCATCGCCGCGGTACATTCCTGGCCGGCAAGATTGTTATTGGCATGGGCCTGAGCATGATGGCTACCACCTGCATGACATACAACTCTGAAATCGTCCCTGTCAAGCTACGAGGTTTTGCCCTGTCTTTGTTCCAGTTTCAGCTCGTCTTTGGCCAGCTGATCGCCGCCGTCGTTGCTGGTAGCCAGATTCCTGACGGCTTTCAAAGAATGTCCTATCGCATCTGCTTCGCTACCCAGTGGGCCCTCGCTGGCACGGCCTTCATCTCGGCCCTGATTGTCCCCGAGTCCCCGGCATGGCTCCTTCGAAAGAATGACGAGGCCGGCGCCCGCAAGTCTTTTGGCTGGCTATACACGCCTTTCCAGGTCGAGGCTGCCATGGTCGCCCTCCAGTCAACCCTCGAGCACGAGAGACAAGAGCAAGCTGACACAGCCGACGTCACCTGGTCAGAATGTTTCAAGGGCCCGAACTTTCGCCGGATGCGCATCATCATCTTCGCCAGCATTGTTCAGCAGTTCCATGGTACCACCTTTGTCGCCAACGGTACCTACTTCATGATTATCGCCGGCCTCTCCCCAGAGAAGTCTATCATGGTCCTTGAGATCGCCTCTGGTCTGTCCCTAGCTGCTATTATGATTTCCTGGTTCCTCGTCGACTATCTAGGCCGCAGACGTACCATAATGGGCTGCACAGCACTCCTGGCAGCAACCTGGCTCTCTGTTGGTATCGCTGGCTTTTTCTCAACTCAAGCTGCACTGTGGTATATGGGCGTTATGATCAACCTCGTGATGGTCTTTTTTAACATTGGTTCCGGACCAGTCATTCCCATCATTGCTTCTGAAACGTCTTCTGTCCGACTCCGTGCCAAGGCCAACGCCGTCGGTTTCATCTGCAACAGTTTCATGTCCTGGGTTTTCAACTTTTGTGTCCCTTACATCTTTAACTCGGACGAGGGAAATCTAGGTGGCAAGACTGGTCTTATTTTTGCTGCTCTGTCTGTCATTGCCTGGGTGGTCTTCTGGTTCGATCTGCCTGAGATGAAGAACCGCACCTACCTGGAGCTGGATGAGATGTTTGAGAACAAGGTCAAGACTCGCCAATTCCGCAAATATCAGTGCCAGGGTTCTATTTAAGAAAGCTATTCCGAATTGCGAGTTGAACCCATGAGGGCTAGCCTTTATCCTATTAAGAGGAGTGCTGTTCCTTGGAGCATGACGTAATCTGTAGCTCTAGTTTTCCTATAACTAATTAGTTGTTATCTTAATATGACTATATATACTATAAAACAGTATCTTATTTAATATTTCTCTCTATATATAAATAACTAGACTTTAGCATTCGCTATAATATTAAAAAAAGAAGTATTTATCAAATATTATATACCTCTTCTTAATACTTCTTCCTTACTGCATCTTGCATTACGCTTAATATTTAGCTTAGCATCTTACTTATTTTTCCAATAACTCTTTAAGCACTATATGCCATAAACATGGGATAGTCTACCAAAACGATTTCAGGCTTATCACTATAAGTATCTGGTGAAATTTACATACTATCTCGGGTTTAGAGCGGAAGACTTAGACATGGGTAAGATGATAGCACGATACTGCAAGCTGCAGATCAAACTATCACTTTAGTAAGATGAAGGTAGATGAGGTAATGTGCCTGGGTACTCACTGCCGCTAATAGTTGGGGTGGGAAACTCTATAGCATGGTTTTTGTTCCCCAGTTGTCGTGTTCGGAGCCAAGAGATAATGAGGGGGACCTGGGTCCACAGAAGTGTGGGGGAATCGGGGCTGTTCCCCGATTGTTAATCGTCCCTCGGTTTTGTTCATGAATGATTTCTCCCAGAGTTCTACCGACATGCCAACTCATATGACTTGTCTTTGACTCAGATCTCAAGATACTAACTCATTCCGGGCCGGGTATCCCGACCTCGGTCTGATCCGTCATCTTGTGATCAGACCCTTCGGTACATCTTGATACGAAATACATCAAGCCTAGACTTTACTGGTGGAGACTTCGGTAACTTGATCAAGTTTCTATGTGAATAGAGTTATTTATTAGGTGGGAGTTTCTACGCCCTTATCAATGCCCTCTGCTTGTGTACAAATTGCTATTCTTGAGTTTTGGCCACGTCCGAAGCCATCCCCAGTATGACTGTCGATTTTGAGACCTCGTGGATTTGGCACCCACATTGGAACGAGAAGCCAGAATCGTCCTCTGCGGGTGAATTTGTCTATTTCCGCAAGTCCATCGACTTACATGATATTCCTCACGGCCCTGTCAAAATTGCTATTACAGCCGATACCAGATACAAGCTCTACATCAACAAGTGGGTCGTTCATACTGGTCCTGTTAAAGGAGATGATCAGACATGGTTCTACGACGTCCTAGACATTCAACCATATCTCGTCGCTGGCCGTAACAATATTATTGTTCATGTTCTTCGGTTCTATCATGGATCACAGAATGCCTCGAGCTTTCCCAGGACCCCATTTCCAGGGTTACACATTAGGCACGACTCAACTGAAGGCGACCTGGAGCAGCGAGCATTGGACATTCAGACGGATGAGACATGGGAGACGGCTCTTGATACCTGCAGAGCTCTCCCCGTCAGTGGGAATTTTGATTTCTTCCTCCATATCTTTGAAAGGGTTGACCAGCGGGAATCCCATGCGCTTACTTGGGTTGCGGCAGAGCCATATCGGTTCATGGTCAATTGGGGTCTCTCTATACCATGGAATCTGCATCCTCGGATGATTCCATTCCCTCGGCTAGAGCAACTTCATCCTATAGCGATCTATAATATTAGAAGTACACAGCCCCGGGAGACCTGGGAACGTCTTCTTGACCCGACCCTGCAGCATGAGACAGGCATTGTCCTGACCAAAGGCACTGTACATCATGTCGAACTCGAGATGCCTTACCACATAACAGCCTATGTCGACTTCCGTTTCGCCAGGCCGTCAACTGGTGGTAGCAAGCTGGAAATCACTTGGTCTGAAGGTTATGAGGAGCAGCCTACTAGGCTACCTTTTGAGCGAAAGAAAGGAGACAGATCCGACACTTCAAAGTCCATTGTAGGGCCGAAAGACCAGTATATCTTCGGGGGAACCCAGTTGGATCAAGGTTTGGTTGACTATGGCATTGCAGAAGCCAATGATGAAACTTTCAGTCCTTTTCACTTCCGAACATTTCGATACCTTGCCATGGATATTGAAGTTGCTCAAGATTCGGACCTGGTTCTTAATGGGATACACATTGTTAAAACAAACTACCCTCTGAGAGTGTTGGCCACATTCCCTACAGTCGAGATTGAGAATGAAAGCCCATCATGGTTCCACAACCTCTGGGAGGTGAGCTTACGCACATTGGAGAACTGTATGCACGACTGCTATGAGGACTGCCCATTTTACGAGCAACTTCAGTACGCCATGGACACGAGAAGCTCTGCACTCTTCACCTATATGATCTCCCGAGATGATCGACTCGCACGCCAAGCAATCTTACAATTCTACAACTCTTTTCAGCCCAAAGTAGGTTTGACAGCAAGCCGTGCTCCTTGCCACCATCTGCAGATTATTTCCCATTTCTCTCTTTTCTGGGTATGTATGGTAACAGACCATTACGAGCAGTTTGGTGATAGGGAATTTGCAGCTAGCTTCCTACCCATCGTTGATGCCATTCTATACACCTTCAGCAGTCGCCTTGACCGAGAAACTGGCCTCCTTCGCGTTTCTCAATTGGCTGGCGACTGGGAATTTGTTGACTGGAGTGATTCATATAAGCCATTCGGAGTCCCACCCGCCGCAAAGGATACTGGTTACCTGACCTACACGAATCAGTTGTTCGCATATACTCTACAGAGGCTCAGTTCGCTCGAATCGTGTCTGGGCAAGTCATCACGCGCAGATGAACACAAACACCAGGCTGAGTTGATCGTACAAGCCGTCAGAAACCACTGCTTCGACGGTACCCATTTCACGGATGGTCTCGCTACATTGGCAAACCCCACCCATTATAGCGAACATTGTCAAATTTGGGCAGTTCTCTGTGGCGCGGTAACTGGCAAAGACGCCTTTGACCTTTTGGATCGCTCTCTTGCTCTGCAAGCCAAAGTGGAAGGAGAGCGTGCGCACAAGTTCACACAGGTATCTATAGCAATGGCGTTCTATAGTCTGAGGGCTTTATCCTTCGTTGGCGATGAGGCATACGAAACCCAATTCTTCAGTTTCTGGGCACCCTGGCGAAAGCAGCTTGAACTCCACATGACAACTTGGGTGGAAGACTACATCACGCAAAGATCGGATTGTCACGCATGGGGCAGCCTTCCTCTATACGAGTATACCGCCGAGGTTGCGGGGTTCAAGCTCGCCATGATCAACGGCGAGAGGGTGCTTATCTTCAAACCGCGAGTGGGCCTCTTTAAGGCTTTCGAGGCTAAAGTTCCAGTGAGTGGTACCTGGCAACAGCCAATACTGGCTCGCGTTTCCTGGCAGAAGGACCAGAATAATGAGGTCTTTCTGACTTTGTCATGGGAGAGTGAGGGTGAAGAGAAGCAGGAAGGAAAGCAGCTCCCTGTCCATATAATCCTACCTACTAGGCAGGAAGAAGTTCTGGAAACATTGAGCAACAAGCAATGGAAGTTGAGTTTAGGTAGTAAGCAGTGACTCAAGTAGCAGACTGGCATGAAATTTGTTTTATTATTGCATAACATCCTGTTAGCATTCCCGAACTACATGTCCGCCTATTTACTGGACTCCTCTGCTATGTGTGCTCCCTTGTCTTCCTTGACTACTTCAGTAAAGCTTGGGGGTGCGTCATCTTCATCCGGGGGCTGGATCCACGACTCGTTTCTTTGCAATTGAGATGGACCTGCTGCACCGTCAGATGCAGCTTCAGTTTCGGCCCTTCGCTCGTCACTTGGCATCAAGATCTTTAAGGCCACTGTCCCCAACGCGCTGAAGCGCTCTCCTGCTATTTCACCTATGACCTTCCAAGTCAGCCTGTGCGAATGACGAATGTTGTATGTGGTAAAAGTCGGGTTAAATTGCATATAGCCACCGCCTGGCCGATGCGGAAAACCAGGCCGTAATTGTCCGAGACGCAAATCAATTATGTCTCCAATATCGAGTGAGGGCCATTCATCTGTACAGGGGATATAGATGTCGTCCTTGATTCTGCTTATCGCACTCTCAACACACAGGTCAATCTCCTCGCGTTTTTCCTTTGTATGGTGATACAGAGTTCCTTCGCAGATGACCTCGGTGCTGCTGACAATTCGAATGGAAATTGATGATAATTTGACCTTCTGTGGGATTTCTTTGATTATTTCGCTTGTCCCATTCAAATCTGGAACGACACGTAATTTGAACGGTATCGGAGTAGGGTTGTCGAGTTGTATGACGGTTGGCACATCAACAAGGAGATTGTAGACGAATTCAGGTACACTTGAAGTGCTGAAAGACTGCTTCATCTTCTGGGAAAATGATAACTTGACATCTTCCATACCTGGGACAAGACGATAGCTCGACATGGTCTGACGGCTCCGTGAACCTTTAAGCGCAAAGTCCGCTATGGGAGGGTCAGGGCTGAGGTTGATGACATTGAACGGAAGGACAGCTTCAGTCATATTAACATGACCTTGCCCGGTGACCCTCAGGGTAGCTTTCACAAAGTACTCGATAAAACCCTCAGTGTTTCCAAGGGAGCGAAGTGTATAGGTCGATGGTAGAATGTGATCTGTTGCGCCCAGCGGTAAAAAACTCTCGTCTTGGCCCCCGCCCTGCAAGTATCTCGGATCAACATGCTTTGGCAGCGTTATTGCAAACGGCCATGTCTGCTCATCGCCGCCGCTTTCAATATGGAGCGGGCCTTGAAAGATCTTTTGGGAGCAAGCAGACTCGGAGATGAGATTGAAACGGCCTCGGTAAGTAGATGTGTTATTTGCGCGATGGATAACTATCTTCGATTTGGTTCGCCCTGATAGGGAGATAGTAACTGATGAGTCTGGACTCACGACAGGACTCTTTCGATAAACATAGCCAATAATTGTGTCACCAGGGGAATATGAATGTAGGTCTCCTTCAAGGCGGATGCCCAGTGCTGGGGACATTGAGGGACCAGTCTGAGGCATTTTGTTGGATATCACAATGACAGCGAGGAGGTGAGATGATGATGGCTGATCCTGCATTTTATTCTTGCGAGAGAGTGTTCTCAGCCTAGTGGGGCGCAGTTGGCTGCGCCATTGCCTGGATTTGGTACTGACCAAGGCTAAGCACCGTATGTCCTCCAATGAGAGATGATGACAGGGCTTGCTAGTACAGATCATAACCGGAAGGGGCTTAGAGCAAGCTTCTATCACACGGGATATGGATAAATCGTCTGCATAAGGCGCATAACTTATGCTAGCACATTGATAAGATATGGAAACGAGCTACCCTACTCTAACGCGAAAACAAGTCTACATGTTTCCGAATGAGAATCAATGTTCGCAGAAATTCCACTCCATCCTCTCGAATCTCGATTCCTCCTCTGCTTTGAATGATGTCCGCTCCTTCATTAGATCCAAGCGCAGCTTCTTGGCTTCTTCCAGGTCAATTGGCCAGTCCATACAATCAACCACCTTTTTCAATTAACTCAGGTGGCATTATGCCACATCCGGATTCCAACCCTGAATGAGTTGTCCACCAGTGCTTCTGCTGCGGCGGTACGTTGGAAGCACTGACGATGGGGATCGCTGGGTCGACAAGGAACAACGCGAGAATCTTTCTATGACCGGGTTTGGTAGGATCGGCGAGTCTGAATTGCGAAACATGATGTTGCAAGACATTGGGAAAGAATAGTGCCCTGCCAGCTTTGGTAAGAACAGAACCAATATCCTGGAAGATGCTCCCTCCCAGAGTAATATCAAAAGTTCGCTCAATTGGATCATGCCTGTATTGCTCATAGGAGATCTCGGCAGCCAAGTCTTCCTTATCAGCGCAGGTCCGGAAGTCCAAAGTGCAATCAGTAATATTCTCGCTGTCGTAGTAGTAAAGAGCCGTGCTGACAATATGCTCGTTTAGCAGGCCTTCTGTATGCCACGAACCACCATTGTAGACGGGCTTCTCAGGCGTCAGGTGAATATTAGCAAGCTTGACAATAACCTGAATTTGACTGCTACTGTTGAAGAACCCATTCGCTTTCACATCTGAAGGTTGAATCCTCATATGGTCCTTTGCGCTTGGGTCGGCGTCGGGGAGCTTGGCAGAATGCGTTGATGCAAACCAAGCGTCATCCAGGTTTCTGCGTTCCGGATTCGTCTTATAATCCTCTGCCTTCTCTGCACCCAGTTCGTAATAATCTGGCTCACAATCATCTTCCTCACCATCTGCCAGCATTTCTTCCCATGAGTCGACGTCATATCTAGGCTCTTCACCCTCACCAATAGGACGTCTCCATGGAGTGCAGCCATAGCCGTCCTCAATGTCACAGAGATCAGGGCAGGGGCACTCATCATATTCAGCCTCAGTGGTTGTGAGGCGCTGCACAGAAAAGGTGTTTTCCCAGTCGTAGATGATGTCCCAAGCTGGTAGTGACTTTTCGATGAACTTTTCAATGATGGGATAGAGATGGGCATGTTCTTGTGGATGGAGATTGTTAATGTAACTCGCAATCTTGGCTTTGCCTGTCTCAGGGTCAAGGTCAACATCGCATGGCAACCACTGGAACTTGTTTGACAGCACCACGACCTCGTCCTCACAGAAGCCGCCTTCTCCGATGATGTGCGTTGTCTGCTCGGACCCCGGTGCGCGCGGTACGACGCCGGTACCACAGGAAGCAAGGGCATTATCGACTTCAATGACTCTGTCATTGAGGACCCTGGAGCGACCATAGATCAATGGCCACAGCGAAGGATGCACAAGATCCAGGACTTGCTCTTTGGAGTTGGGATGCCAGTCTTTCAACTCTGAGGGGACGTCTTCCAATGGCTTCACGCCCTCCTGGAGAGCTTTGGCCAGGTCAGGTGTCAGTAAACTGTCCGATTTGATAACTGTGGTTGTATAGTCGTAAACAGGCATTAAACCGGCCTTCTCGTATAGTTCTGCTTTGTTTCGCAGCTCACTGATGCACTGTTTAAGCATTAGTATTATAGCATCAAGAACACCAGGGTTCAGCTTTGACTAACTGCATCGGCCATAGCGGAGGTAAAGTCAGCGTGCTTCCGATAAGAAGTCCAGTCCATTTCCAACGCCTCTTTCTTCCACTTGCTGGAGATAGCTTCGTCTTTAACTTTACGCCACCACTCCGGCTTATCAGAGAGCTCATTGATAAGCTTAAGCATGCAACTCTCGCGGATAAGTAAGGTGGCAGCTCGCCAGCCATTCTCGTAATTATCCTCCATGAACAGCAAAGGGAAACGGTCCTTTTGGTCAGGCATGTGGCCAAGAGGTAAGCCGAGGCCTGGCTTTCGTATGATAAAGTCGACCTTGTCCTATGACTCTTGATTAAACTGATAGACTCTGAGATAAAATGACAGTTCTCACCTCGATATTGCCCTCATTACTGTAGAGGTATTTGGCCCGCTTTATCATTAGAACTAGCTCGGAGTAAGAGAAGGTGTTGTAATAGAGATCGTTCCCTCTTGTGATCCAGGACTTTGCCTCGAGTACTCCTGGATTCTTAGATCCTACCCAGGCATTGAATGAGTCCAATTGTGATTGACTGAGCTTAGACACCGCCTTGCTCCCAGTTAGGAGCTCTTCTTCGGCAGTGGTAAGTGGTGCCGACTTTGGATCCCAGGTGTGAGTCATTATGGGTTTATAATAATGTCTTCTAAGGAATAGATCTAACAAGAAAGTTTAGGTTCTTGAGCAGGGTATTTATGTTCAATCGAGGTCTTAGTACCTGGGCCTCAAAATAGGTAGATGCAAGAGTAAGGAGATAAGATGATCTTCGGTGAGTGCCTTTCTCGGTATAACCCCCCTGGGCCCATAGGCCTAGTCCTCTTGAGTGAAAAACTGTAGTGGTCAGTGGGTGCCAGTAAAGAAAACCCTAGGCAGCTGAGCGTTTAGCGTTGAGTTTAATTGCTTAGCCAGTATCCACTTCTTCACGACGTGAAATTTCATCCCAACAAAGCTGCAGTTCGACATTATCTTGGGCTCTGTTACCTGTAGCTTCTTTACTTGACAATCCGCTCGAGGTGACTACCTCTTCTAATAGCATGTTCTACTTTGTCACTGTGTAAGCATTCTATGTCTGAGATTTCGTCGGCAGTGTCAAATTCCCAACCGCAAGATCCGGTCGGGTCAAGGTCAACGGGTCCACTTGGTCTAACTACGCATTGACCAAGATACTAAAGCTCAGTTCGCAAATCCCAAGTTGCATTAGGTTTCAAGAGGGAACCTTTTTAAGTACCTGGGTTCCGATGTTGAGGATAAGGCTTCCTTTCTGGTTTTAACATACCATTAGTACATAGTACTCTTTAATGTATGCTAAGTATTAGTTTATTAGTTTAATTTATATATAGTCCTTTAGTACTTAAGTATAACTTATAATTTTATATTATAATTCCCTTAATTTATAAGTCTTTATTAAATTAAGAGAGAAACTTTTTAAGATTACCTGAAATATATAATAGTTTATAATTAAAATCCACTTTTTAAATAATAACTTTCTAATTATTAATAAAACTAAAGGTAGTTTATATTAGTTATATAGACCTATAAATATATAAATATAAGAGCTTATTGTGACGAAGGTGGTTTCAAACAGGGAAACTAGTCCGTACTAGGTTTATGTTTGCAGATGGCGTAGGGCGTCAATACTGAGCGGGTTGGTTGTCACGTCTCTTAATGATCAAATAATG